GGATTTATAGGGTTTAGGGTTCAGGGCTTAGGAAGAACATCTGAGTTTTTTTTTATTGGAGGGGGGGGGGGGGCGTGAAAAGAAAAGCCTGATCTGGGTCTCCGGTTCTTTTAGGGGTCCCTGCCTCGTCACTTGTCGGGTTCGAAGATGCCGAGGCACGGCCAGAGAGAGATCCGGGCTCGGGCTGGCGTTCACACGCAACTTGAGTGGAGTAGGGTTTGTAGTCTTTCGGATATTCCTACGGCTTGTGTACAGTAGCTTACACGCCGCTTTAGGAGTTTGAGTTCCGGGCTTTCTGTCGGCCGAACCGTCATTTCTGAGGTTGTCTATGTCTCAGTTCGGGTCTGCCGTGCTTTGAAGGCTCTGAGTCGGAGCTTCGAGAGTTCTCCGGTGGAGCCTCTTCGGACAGGGCTGGTGAGTCCGGGGCTGAGCGGGTTTGCAGGTAGACATACTACACCCGAACCTTTAAATCCAAAGCTCTGAATCCTTTCGGGTGGGCGAAGCACCAACTAGAATCGTCGCCACTAACCCCGCAACCTCAAGGTGGCACGCTCTTCAAGTCAAGTTCCCTTTGCAGGCTCGGGCTTTTGCATGCGGTTAGGAATCTGTTTGAGATCCCGGGTGGTTGAGTTGGTTGCGCCTCACTCTCGTTTACGGCTGTGGGGGCTCCAGGGTTAAATGTAGAGGTCTAAACAATGAGTGCCCCTGTGTCTGATATTAGCGGGTTATATACCTAGCCAACTACTTCGAGGGCATCGCACCGGGTGCTTTCCGACCCCTGATGGGACCGAGGAAGGGGTTTGGGCCGCAACACAGGGATCTCAATAGTTCCAACAAGGATTCGGGTTACACAGCTTTAAGCCATATCACTATATCGGCATAGTGACGCTTTGTTATTAGTACTACTTGTAGCTCGGACCTTTCTCTCGCGACGCTTCTTGGCCTGCTGGTTCGGATTCAGGCCTCGTGATTCAGGGTTTGATTGCACCCACCGTCTTCAGGACGAAATGGCCCTCATAAGTTTGAGGCGCTTTATGCTATATCTACAAGCCCAGGTAAACATGTAATTGTCGGAACTGACATCTCCCAAACCCCAAACTTTGGCCCTACATAAATCCCGACAGCGCTGACCCATATCTTTTTTCGGTTGTCCCCAAGGTGTCAGCATCCTTTTCAGCCGTTTTTGTCAACAAGCAAATCCGCTTCCAGTCGAGGCTGGTAGGGTTTCTCTGCAGCTTGGATGTTCAATGCTGAGGTCCTTGCGGGTGTAGGGTTTCTGGAGTAAGGCTTAGCTTTGAGGGTTTAGGGGAGTTGCGTGCTTAGCACTGCTGCCCTTGGTCTGACAATCGGGTGTGTAGGCTTTGCAAGGGTTTGAGGCTGTAGGCTTTCATTATTCATTATACTTGGACCCAATTTCTTGCGACTGAGAGCTGCGATTGATGGCGTTGTCGCTACCCGCAGCCAGAACATGAGCCCTGGTACGCATAGTTGGGCCTATCGTTCTCCCCTAAAGAGACAGCTTCTATTTTTTTTGCTTGGGTGCTGCAAGACAGGCCGGAGGTTGTGCAAGCAGACGGTGTTCTGCACAGAAGTGCTGTTGCGAGGACCCGGTTTGTAGTTTGATGCAGGGTGTCGCACGAAGATGCCATCATGACATGGCTTCTAGTTACACCTCATGCGCTGTCGCATAGTTGCAAGAACGGATGTCCATGATTCTTTCGCCTCAAGCAAGGCCGGTGAGCTGTGGGGTCCCATGGTGCTGTTACGCCTGCACAATCCGCAGGGCGGGCCAGGTCTGCGCGTCCTCAGCCGCGACCTCCACCATCTGTGCTGGCTGTGTGCGCACAGGCACCGAAGAGGGCAGGCATTGCCTTACAACGTGGCAGAGATTGTGCTGCGATTCTTGACGGTGCCGTATGAGTGTGGTTCGGAGTGCCAAAGTCGAGTCGCAGCCACTTCCAGAAGAACATATGCCATTGATTCCAACCGCGAACTGGCTCGCTTCGGAGTGGCTGGTGACGATGGTGTGCCATCAACTCTGCTTGGACCTCTGTCGTGCATTGCTGTAGGGCTGTCCCACGTGTGTTTGTTGAAGGAATCGGGAGAGCTGCTATGCCATGGCGATAACGCAACTGTCCCTCCGAACTTAGGCCCAGCTGTTGCAGTCACGGCGGGCTTCTACCACACCTGTGTCCTGAAGGCAAGCGGAGAGCTCGTCTGCTTTGGCTCGCATGGGCCGAGTTGCAATGTTCCTTCGGGCCTTGGTCGGGTCATAGCGGTGGCTGCGGGCCAACATCACACCTGCGCTGTCAGGGCCAACGGCGAGCTAGTTTGCTTCGGTGGCAATCAGCGCGGGCAGTGTGATGTTCCTGCCGATCTAGGCCCTGTCTCGCGTGTGGCAGCCGGGCTTAGCTTTACTTGCGCTGTGAGAGCGGATGGTGAGTTAAGTTGCTTCGGCAGCAACAGCCATGGGCAGTGTGACGTGCCGCCAGACCTGGGCCCGGTGTCAGCGGTGGCAGCCGGCTACGCGCACACCTGTGCTCTAAAGTCCACTGGTCAACTCGTCTGTTTCGGAAACAACGATTATGGCCAGTGCGATGTTCCTGCCGATCTTGATCCTGTTGTCGCCGTGGCGGCAGGTCCTCACCACACTTGCGCAATGACAGATCGTGGCACGTTGGTCTGCTTTGGAGACAACCAGTTTCGACAATGCGAAACCCCGCCAGGCTTGAGACTCCTTGTATAGTTCAGCTCACCCAACCATCAGAGTTGCCGGATGGTACGACTCTTCGTGCTTCTTTTCGGGAATCTGGAATGCATCCACGGAGGGCTTCTTACAATTTTGACAAAGGCACGGAATGCGTTTTGCTTCCACTGTACAGTTGCTGGTTACTCGTTGTGTGCTTTCCCACAACACTTGTAGCAGTCGCCAGACATTGCCGAAGCCAGACTCTTGCCCAAGAACAGCTTGAAAATCATCGTTACGAGACGGTCACACCAATCGTACTTTCTCTAATCTAACACGTTAGGATTCTAAGCCCGCCGTCCTTTTTAACACATTGCCCCCTTTGAGCTACATGTATTGTTCCACATACAACTCCCATGCCCCGTACTCGAAAAAAGCTGCCCAACTAAACCTTATTGCCCAAACCCTAAACCCTAAACCCTAACCTTCAGGATTCGGGAGGGCCGCGTTGGTCCGAGACTTGCCTGCTGATCCCCACCGCAGCTGGGAAGCCTCCATAATTACTCTACGCGTCTTTTGGTTTCGCCCATCTCCCACGTTCCACAAGCGCTAAACTTTATAGGGCATAAATTGTAAAACCCTGTCCGCGGACACCGTGCTGTAGGCAGAAATTATAAACCCTTATCCGCAGAAACCGTGCTGTAATGCCCATCCATTCCTTATCCCTGAGCTCTGCTTTGGACTCCAACCCCCCACTCCCCAAAAGCGTTGAAGCAAACCTTAGGGCTCCAGTTACTTCAATCAGCCGTTACCGGGTTCCATACTAGATAGATAGGTAGGTAGATAGTATTGTTCTTTTTTAGTTATACCTACTATTCAGCAAATATACGGTATATATGGATAGTGGCCGACTAGGGTAAGCCCTAAACCCTAAACCCTACACCTTAAGCCCTATAAACCCAAAACCCTAAACCCAAAACCCTAAACCCTATAAACCCAAAACCCTAAACCCTAAACCCCTAAACCCCAAACCCTAAACCCTAAGTGTAGCTCCTTCAGCTTCTCGGTTCGGTCCTGGGGAGGACTGTGAGGTGATCTCTCCGAGGCTGCGAGGGCTTGTTTGGGCAGGCTTTTGGCTGTTTTGTTATGGGGTTTATATGGGGCCTATATATCTATATATATCTATATATATCTATATATATCTATATATCTATATATATATATATATAGAGTTTAGGGTTTATAAGGGGAGGGGTCTTTGACAAAAGTCCTATGGAATGATTTCAGGGCAAGGTTGAGGCTTGGGGTTTTGAGTGTTTGGGGGGGGCTTTGATTAGGGCCACTTGCTGGAGGGTCTTACGGTTTCTTGAGGACGGCAGCTGTTCCGGGTCCCGTGGTTCAGAGGCTGAGGACGTGGTGGTTTCGGCCGAGGTCTCGAGGGTCCCCTCTGTATGAGGCTGGGTCCACGTGTCGAGGTTCTGTGCTAGAAATTGGTCGTAAGCAATTGCTCTGTACGTGGAAGGCCCGACTAACCCGCCTCAGCCCGAACATCTCAACAACCTCGAGAGTTGAATCTTAACTTCTTAACTTCACAGTCACCCGAAGTCCTGAAACCCTGAAGCCTTGAACCCAGAGTCCCGCTGTAGACCCGAGCGCTCAGTCTCTCAAGCCGCTCATGCTGATCCATCAAGTGCCCGATTGGCGAACATACTCAGGCTTAGACCCCCAAGTGTTCCAGTGCCCGAGCTTCAGAAATCCTCAAAATTCTGCATGTTGTGTGGCTTCAGGCTTCACTGTACAGATAAAGGTGCCAGGCGCAACACTAAGCCGAATTCCCCAAGCATGACCTCTCCAATCCCTCAACCTCACGGTAGCCAAGATCCTTCTTGAATCTCCGACATAGCGGCGTTGTTCCAACGTGGTCCTTCGGTCCCCGTTAAAGTCCACACGCTTGTAGGTGCTGTTTGCTACCACATGGGTCCATAGATTCGACCATGATGTTGAAGCAGTCCCAAATGTTTACTCTGGAGGCTTCGGGGTTTACGTCTCCCCGGTCCGAGCGATGCACCGATACTGCACTCTGAAGACTATAGACATTCCCCCACCATCTTTCTGCACAGCAAGAGCAGTTGATGG